TTTTTTTATGTCGTGTAATTTTATTCATAATCTGTTCATCAATGTGAACATTGAGTAAATTTAAGATCGCGGTTGACATTAGGTAGGTAATCTTTCTCGGTGGATAGTTACCATTATGATGATGATTTTCACTATTTCCTTTGACTGTGAATCTGCTTCTATACTTAACACTGTCATTGTCCATCGACTTGGCTGAAGGTCCATATGCTGAACCTGATTCATTTGACTGTCCATCTGTGATGAACGATGGCCCTTTTGCTGAAAGCACCCAGAGGGCTCACAAAGGGCCTGGCTTGACCAGGATTTGAACCTACGCCCACTAGCTCATGGGTGGGGCGACTTAACCATTCGGCTATTAGTCGCCCTTAAATAGATATAAAAAAGTAATTCATAATTTATCAATCAATGTATAAAAACAACATCAATTTATTTGTTTATATCAATATTTACGTATTTCGTCTCTAATTATAGTAAACACACATAATTAGTGTTGATTCATGATTCCCTTTAACGACTAACGAATATTATCAATCAATTTCTTGAACTGAACGTTTTATTGATTTATTTATACCAATATTTATGTATTTCTTCTTTAATTATCCCAAGTTGAAGCGTCTATATAAAATATTTTTATACTTATACAAATTATGCATTTTGTATAACCAAATATATTTGAAATTATCATTTTTTTCTGATAAGAATATCGAAAATATAAACAGAAAACTGCTTTTTTTTTTGTTGTCTGTTCTGTTTATTACCTATTAACTATAGTCATTAATAAAAAGCGAAAATATGTGTTTTTATTTATATGACATTATGTAATCATTAATATTATATTTCTATATCAGTAAAATGCTTTTATTAAGAGAATTTATATTACAACCACGTTTCTATTCACTATATACTATTTTTTCTTGTTTTAAATATTTTCAGTTCACTTAGATAACATTTATTTATCATTTTTGATAAATTTTTTGATACAAAAATAAGTTTTAATATAAATTAATTAACTTTTTTTTATATAAAATATAAATGTTTTAAATAATTACATTAAATATTAGAAAAAAAATAATAGAAATTTAAAAATTTTGTTATATTTGATTATTTCTGATTATAATCTAACTGGAAGATTCTGCAGCATTCGAAAGTTAATAAAAATACCATTGAAAAACAGAAATATCCACAATTTTTGATATTTATCTTATATTTGATTGCAGCTGAATACAAACTGGATGGAAATATTTTTTTATAGATATGATTAAAATAATCTAACTGGAGGATTGTGCAGCATCTGAAAGTTAATAAAAATACCAGTGAATAACAGAAAAATCCACAATTATTGAAATTTTTCCTATATTTATTTGTTGCTAATTAAAAACTAGATGTAGTTATCATTAAAAGAATCTAACTTAACGAGTTTAAAAACGTTCCAAAATTTTCGGATTTTTATTCGTATAGTGAAACATATTCAAAAATACACATAATATGTGTACACAAGTTTTAAAAATGATGTCCCGCAATCCGGGACTTCTCTTCACATCGTCACTCGTTATGCGAAACGTTCGTTAAGCGAGGTTCTACTGTATTTGTTTTATAATATGGATTAATTTAAATTTGGGTAGGTGTGATTAAAGCAATATCTAACTGTAGGATTCTACATTATCCGAAAGTTAAATCCGACACCGATTCAAATTAAATTCAAGTTATAATGAGTTCCTGAAACGCGTTAATAGCAGCTGAAAGTGTCCATAGAAGAGGAAAATACATTGAATAGAAGCGCTTATATAACGCATAAAACAATTCATCACAAAAACTACTCTATACATAACATTATACAACAATACCTGCTTCGGATTCATTATAATCAGGTTTAAATATTCCAAACAAAACATTTTTTTTTAAATTATTGGTTTTTATGCGGTTTTAAATTCTTTTCTGAACTATGCAAACTTTAACTTTTTTTGCATTTAGAGCAGTTAAGAAAATGTCGCTAATTAAAATGACAATTTCTAAATTTATATTAGGGAGAAAGTTTTTCTCTAATAACAATAAAGAAAATAATTGTATTACGTGTTTTTTTGTTTTTATCGCTAAGACTGAGTAGTAAATGTATACCAGTTGCAAATTGTGTCAAGTGGACACTTCAAACACATTAGTTTTTACCGTCAATATTTATTTTCTTATTTTTTTTTATAAAAGTTTTCTATCAATAAAAATAATTGTTTCATGCATGAATTACATATATTAATTAATTTGTTATAATAATAACGATGTTTGTAATAGTCATCAAAAATAAACAATATTTACGTAACAATACAAAACAATGACATAAACCATTAATTAGTTAATAATGTATACAATTACAGTGTTTTTTTTTTAATTAAATAGTATAAGTATAATCAATAAAATCTCTATTTTTCTTTAGAATTTAGAAACAAATAGTAATATGTTTTTGAGTAAACTAGAGGAAAACGCTAACCACGTAGTTACAAGTATCATAAAATCGATTTACATGTCACGCACAAAAAGGGTTTAATCATAAAAAAGAAACAAATATTGCCTAAAAACTGGTCTGTGTATAATAAACTTTTTCAGCCCTTTTAGTCAAATGAAATCTACTACATGAAATTCATCCATTTTTTTATATATATTTTATTTGTAAACACACTAAACGCAGTTTTTTTTCTAATTAATTTAAGTATAGGTTTTTATAAACTTTGTATGGTTAAGTCGCCCTACCCACGTGCTAGTGGGCACAGGTTCAAATCCTGGTCAATTCAGGCCCTTTGTCTGCCCTCTCGGTACTTACATCAATAGGGCCATCGTTCATCATAGATAGATTAATCCAAAGAACGAGTTATATAATATTATTTATACATTATTATTCCATTAATGCATTTGTTTTTTTTTTACAAAGCATACTCGATTATTTGCAAATCAAAATTTTAGCAAACTTCAATGCATAACTAAAACAACTAAAACTGTTTATTATTCTAATAACGGCAATAAATTGGGAAATTATTTTCGCGCATTGCAAATTGAAATTAATCCAAGCACGTTTCGTTTCGACATCTATAATAATATACGAATTTTAGAAATTTTTTCTATTTTGCATTTGAGATGCGCAATTTTTATTTACATTATCAAATTTGAGAGATGACCAATTTTTCTTGCTTCAAGAACAAAAATATATGAATATTTGCATTACCTGAATCAACAAATTTCGTTTTTGAAATTTTACTATTTTGCAATTGAGATGCGCAATTTTTATTTACATTTGAGATGGATCTAAAAGATATTTAAAATCTGCAAGAAAATATTCAAAAATTTCGTTTTTTTTTTCTTTAGAAATCCAGTTTAAAGTTTGTCGCGTTTTCGGTTTATTTTTTTGTATAGCGAACGTATGTTACATATTAAATGCGCTGTTAATGAAATTATATTACGTGGAATCAAAGCCACGACAAAAGTGTGTTCATTATGCATTCAATCGGCTCGTGTTTCCGAAAGCCATATATCATTGTATACAAATTAGGTAAAAACTATGTTGAGAAACTACAGTTTGTACATTGGTTTTATTGCATCTCTTTCTACACAAATCTTAATATTCATTAATAAATTATTAGTTTAAACAAATACAAATCCATATATTATAAATTATTATAAAATTTTCCAAATTTTGAAGCACAGAACAAAAAAATTAAACAAATTATTTCCTATTTCCAGTTTCTTAAACATACCAAAATTCATAAATAATTAGTTTAAAATTTAAAAGAAAAACATTGGTTTTGTAACTGAAAAGTTGATACAATTTTCAGGATTAAAACCGAAACATGAGAATTCCATTTTCAGAATTTTTTTTTCAAATCTCATAAATCCGAAGCGTACAAGAATTAACTGTTTTGCCGTCAGATATTTGCACGGTTTTGCATTGTTTTTTAACGCAGGTTTCCTATTATTGTACTCATTCTTTTTTGTTTTGTGTGTGTTGTTGTCCTGCCTCTGATTCCGATTCTGTTTTCGTTCGATTTAGTTCACAAACGCAATGAAATTTCCAAACCCGGAATTTCATTCAATATTCATGACCGATATGCGAGCTAAAATATTTCTATGTCCAATACCATTTTTTTGTTGTTGTTTTGTTTTGTTTCCACGAACGTCAATTGTAGTTTAAAGATTAAATTTATGAATGTTACAGTTTTGGAAAAAATCAAAGGTTACTACATGATGAATGCATTGAAATGGTGGAATTCAGTTCGGATGAATTCAGTTGCATATTTTTAGGTTTATTTTTTTTATTTTACTAATTAAATTTGTTGATTTTTATTGAAATTAATTAAGAAAACCAAATGATCTTATAAGATGATGTTAGAAAACTATTGTAACTTTGTAACTATTTGTAAATGTACAAATTAATGATTAAATATGTAATGAAAACTTAAATACTTAAAGTTTCTTTACTTATTAATAGAGTTGTAATAGTATATAATAATAAATTCGTCGGCATGATTCGATTACTGCGTTTGCAAAAAGCTATTTCCGGTTGTTGCAAACCGATAAAACTCTTTGGTCTGACATAACTTCATAGAAAGCCGCCGAAGATGTCTCTCACCAGAGGTAATGGGTGAAGAAAAACGATAAATTATTCAAGAACCATGGCAGGTGTCCCAGCAAACGTAACAGAAGTCCCCTCTACACGATTTTCGAAAACGCGACCAAGAAGAAATTTTCGACTGCTCGCATGTGCCAATAAGAGAGACACCATCCATTTACCATCCTTCTTCCGCCGATACAGAAACCCATTTCCTGTTCCATTCTTCCGCAAAAATATGTTAATTCTCCGCGTCGCCTCTTTTTGTTTGCTTTTCTTTTCGGTGCTGCACTGGAATGGTAGGAAGTTCGGATATAAAAATAAGGCGATTCAATTATCCGGCATCATTCACTTCAGTCGGTGTTTTGTGTTCACTTCTCTTGTGATTACCAGCAAATTCCTCAAAGAAACGATGGCAGCCAAAATTGCGGTAAATAAATTTACAAATTATTTATTTAGTCATTTGTAATTATTTTTTTGTATCTTTTCAGTTTGTTTTATTCAGCATTGTGGCTATGTGCTCAGCAGCTCCCAGTTTCTTCAAAGGATTCGGCAAAGGTCCCATCCAGTAAGTTCTTTGTGTTTTTAGTTGATGGATGTAGTTTTAACATTAAGTTTAATTGTAGCGAACATCATATCATCCATGTTCCTCTGAACATACCGGAACACATCCATAACGTCCATCATCATCATGTTGAAAAAGTGCATGTGCCGGTTGTCCAGAAGGTTTTGGTCCATGATCATCATGATCACCATGAACATCACCACGATGTCTCCGCTCATCACGTTGATTTCCATGGAGCCGACTTCCACCACGGAGCTGATATCCATCACGGAGCAGCCATCCACCACGCAGCTGACTTCCATCATGGAGCTGATATCCACCACGGAGCTGAGTTCCACCATGGAGCCGATTTCCATCACGGAGCTGAATTCCACCACGGAGCCGATTTCCACCATGGAGATGCCATCCACCACGATGTCCATTCTCATACTAAAATCCATCACGCTCCAATCCACCACGCTGAACCAGGCTGGTGGTAATCATCAAAAAAGTAAACGCAATCACCTAGGAAGTACCTGAAGTGTATTAATAAGGTAAAACTAACGAACAATTACAAAATCAAATTTAATACTAATCATTTTTGTGTTTTATTTCAGATTTCATTGTCGAGTCACTTGATCTTTGGGAAGTGCAAATAGTTTCTATAGCATTTGTTAGTCCCATCGTCAGCCATAATGTAAATCTAATCCCACTAGATTTTAGTATATAATATATTTTTTTATAAGTATTATTATGTAAATATTGAAACAAAAAAATTAATAATGTACAAGCAAATAGGAAATTATGTATAAACCAAATATATACAATAAAAATATAAATATGAAATCATTATTTTTTCACTACCTTTAGTTATAATCTTAATTACAATTTTCATAGAAAAAATCAAGAAAATTAAAGAATTTGACCCAAATGCAACAAAAATGACTTTAAAAACTACTACACATAAGTTTTTTATCCTGATATTATTTATACACAAAACTTGTTATTTCTTATACAAATTAATAAAGAATTATGTAATAATTAAATCTGAAGTATTTATTTATCTTATTTATAAAACAACTTGAAAAAAAGACAACAAAAAATCTATAGATTAATCTATAAATTAATTTATGATTTAAGATGAAATTAAATAAATTACAGTTATGTAACAAAATTACTTTAATTTCTTTAAAATGTTCAAAATTTTACTCAATTCAGTTGCAATTTACTATAGAATGCAATTCATTAACATTACTTATTAATAGCCAAATTATCATCCACTAATTAAATAATAATTACATAAATTTGAACAAATTTGTCTTTAATGCACGCATTATGTGTATAAGTTTATTATATTTTAGATAAATATTAAAAAGATTTAAAGAAATTTTAATAAATTAAGAAATATATGTTTTTTTTTTAATTACTTAAATATTTATTGTTTAGTTGTTGGTAAAAGCATACAAAAGTGTATCTTTGTATGCTTTTAAGAAATAGACATTCATCGATTGCTTTGATATCCAAAAGTCCTTTTGATGTATGAATATTGAAAGGTATAAAGAAAATGTGATGAGGGTTCACGAATATTTTATGTAATGGACAAATAACATACATATATATTGATATATATTATATACATATATTCAATTTTATTATTATATAAACAGTTGTTAATAGAGTAAACTTTACTATATACTATTTGTTACATGTAGTGTGGATGCAGCATTACATAACAAAATGTAAAAAGTATGATTGATAGTAAGAAAGAAAAATATGTAAATATTAAATCTTTTGATGCAAATGAGAAAAATTCTTAAAGAATTCGGAAACACACCTTTACAAGACACGCTTACATAAATAATATTTCGTTGTGCAGTTTTCTCTCTTCTTCACCTTCATCAAATTTCTTCTTTCTACCACGAAAGATATGCTAATTTCGGATTTGTAACAATTTATGTGCGTTTTACTTCGCGCGAATGAAGGTGGGATGAGCCGTATAAATATCCGTGGACACCAAAAGCAGACATCAAACACTTCAGTTGGTGTATTGTGCTCACTTCTGTGATTACCAAAAATCAAACAATCGAAACAATGGCAGCCAAAATTGCGGTAAATTTAAAATTTTCAGTTAAAAAAAATTAATGCGTTTACTATTATATAATCGTGATTTCAGTTGGTTTTCTTCGGCATTGTGGCTTTGTGCTCAGCAGCTCCAGGTTTCCTCAAGGGTGGTTACCAGTAAGTTTACTTTACACTCTCAAAGGATTTTTGTTTGAATTAGTATTTTTTTTTCTTTATAGTGAACATCACCTCATCCACGCTCCTCTGATCGTACCGGAACACATCCACAACATCCATCATCATCACGTGGAGAAGGTGCATGTTCCAGTTGTGAAGAAGGTCATCGTTCACGAACACCACAAAGTGCATGATCATCATCATCACGATATTGGTTTCCATGGTTTCCACGGTGATGCTTTCCACGCCGAAGGTTTCCACGGTGGTTTCCATGGTGACATCCATTCCCATGTCGATCATCATGCTCCGATCCATCACGCCCCAATCCATCACGCCGAACCCGGATGGTGGTAATCACAACGCGAAACGCACAATCACCTAGGAAGTACCTGAAGTAAATTCAATTTAAAGGTATTTATATATATATTTATATCAACTCAATAAATGTTATTATATAATATGTCTCTTTCAGATTCATATTCAGAACTGTTAATCGTTGGGAAGTTCAAATAGTTTCTAGTCATTTCGAAAAATTTTTGTTAGTCCCAATCGTTTTCAGCCATTGCACGTCATTTAATTTTTTAATGTAAATAAAGAGAATTCAATTGCAAATTATTTTACCTTGTTTCATTATAATCCAAAATATTCCATAATACCATACAAATCTTAACTATCAATAATTTTACTAGTGAATAAAATACAAATTATCTATAGTAAATTGATGATAATTCAAATATTGACAAATTTTATATACATTAATTATAATATTTACATAATTATTTAATTTTACATAAATTTTATGATTAAAATACAAAAAAAAAAGAAATTCTTCATAAATCTTTTATATTTTATTACATTATTTCATACATAACTAAATTGTAGAATAATACATTTTATACACTTTATAAATACATACAAATTGTAACAAATATTAAATAAATTCTATTTTTTTTGTAATTTGAATAGTCATCAAATTCTATATATTTTTTCAGTGTTTTCAAACGTTTGCAATTAAAAATTGATCGTAATTCATAGACAAATACATGAAACTTAAGAAAATTGTATTAAATCTAATGAATTTAACTATTTACCTTAATTTCAAACAATTTCTACTGAGATTTAAAAAAAAAATCATATTTATTGTAAATGAATATTTTAGATAAAGTAAAAAACACATATAATTAATATAAATGAGAAATCATAATTGAGATTTGTATGTATCTTTTTCGTCAGAGAAACAACGTAGAAAAGAATAAACGAAACTTGCTTTCCGTTTGACCTTTTCGCGAAACTTTTTCTTCTCTCGAATTCCTCACCTCCTCGTCCACCACCTTTCTACTAAAAAAAAAGAAAGAAGAAAGAAATGATCGGAATGTCCGGTGCGTGCGTAATTAGTTATCAACGAAAAAGGCCCACAAATCATCGGTCAAGAATATAAATTATTTCAGACGAAAGAGATGATTCCACAACAACACTTTCTCCTCGCAGCATTTCCCTTAAGGCTTCAACGTTACATAATTCATTGCAACGAACATTTCATATATTTCGTCTTTATTTGTTTTACGAATGTATAACATGATTTGATTATATAGCACGTACAGAGGATTTCAATGCGGGTTACATTAGAAACTAGATTATTGGGTAACAAGTAGAAAATTTGTAATTTACTTTGTCTTCTAATTGCTTACGATAATTAAATATATAGCAATACCTCGCATATTGCTGCTTCAATCAGTCCGGATTTTAATTAAGTAAATTTCAAGTCTCAATTTGAACGTTTTATTTCTATTTTATTTAATCCACTTTCCAACAGATTATCCGTACTATGTGAGATATTTCTGTAAGTTGTTCTAATTGCTTACTATAATTAAATATACAGCAATACCTCGCATAGTGCTGCTCCAATCAGTCCGTATTTTAATTAAGCAAAATTCAAACAAATTCAAGTCTCAATTTGAACGTTTTATTTCTTTTTTATTTAATTCGTCGATTAATCCACTTTCCAACAGATTATCCGTACTATGTGAGACATTTCTGTAAGTTGAGGTTTAAGTTTTAATTAGGATGTAGCATGAATTTATTTATTTAATATTTTAATATCTTCTAATTGCTTAATATAATTAAATATACAGAAATACCTCGCATAGTGCGGCTTCAATCAGCCCGGATTTTAATTAAGTAAAATTCAAACAAATTCAAGTCTCAATTTGAACGTTTTATTTCTTTTTTATTTAATTCCTCGATTAATCCAGTTTCCAGCAGATTATCCGTACTAGGTGAGATATTTCTGTAAGTTGTTCTAATTGCTTACGATAATTAAATATACAACAATACCTCGCATAGTACGGCTTCAATCAGTCCGGATTTTAATTAAGCAAAATTCAAACAAAATCAAGTCTCAATTTGAACGTTCGATTAATCCACTTTCCAACAGATTATCCGTACTATGTGAGTTATTTCTCTAAGTTTAGGTTTAAGTTTTAGTTAGGATGTAGCATGAATTAATTTATTCAATGTTTTCATATCTTCTAATTGCTTACAATAATTAAAAATACAGCAATACCTCGCATAGTGCGGCCTCAATCAGTCCGGATTTTAATTAAGCAAAATTCAAACAAATTCAAGTCTCAATTTGAACGTTTTATTTCTTTTTTATTTAATTCCTCGATTAATCCAGTTTCCAGCAGATTATCCGTACTATGTGATATATTTCTATAAGTTGTTCTAATTGCTTACGATAATTAAATATACAAAAATACCTCGCACAGTGCGGCTTCAATCAGCCCGGATTTTAATTAAGCAAAATTCAAACAAATTCAAGTCTCAATTTGAACGTTCGATTAATCCACTTTCCAACAGATTATCCGTACTATGTGAGATATTTCTGTAAGTTGTTCTAATTGTTTACGATAATTAAATATACAGCAATACCTCGCATAGTGCTGTTTCAATCAGTCCGGATTTTAATTAAGCAAAATTCTAATCTCAATTTAAACGTTCGATTAATCCACTTTCCAACAGATTATCCGTACTATGTGAGATATTTCTGTAAATTGTTCTAATTGCTTACGATAATTAAATATACAAAAATACCTCGCATAGTGCGGCTTCAATAAGTCCGGATTTTAATTAAGCAAAATTCAAACAAATTCAAGTCTGAATTTGAACGTTCGATTAATCCACTTTCCTACAGATTATCTGCACAATGTGAGATATTTCTGTAAATTGTTCTAATTGCTTACGATAATTAAATATACAACAATACCTTGCATAGTGCGGCTTCAATCAGTCCGGATTTTAATTAAGCAAAATTCAAACAAATTCAAGTCTCAATTTGAACGTTCGGTTAATCCACTTTCCTACAGATTATCTGCACAATGTGAGATATTTCTGTAAGTTGTTCTAATTGCTTACGATAATTAAATATACAGTAATACCTCGCATAGTGCGGCTTCAATCAGTCCGGATCAATCAGTTCCAACAGATTATCCGTGAAATATTTCTGTAAGTTGAAGTTTAAGTTTTAGTTAGGATGCAGCATGAATTTATTTATTCAATGTTTTCATATCTTCTAATTGCTTACGATAATTAAATATATAGCAACTCGCATAGTGCGGTTTCAATCAGTCCGGATTTTAATTAAGTAAAATTCAAACAAATTCAAGTCTCAATTTGAACGTTCGATTAATCCACTTTCCTACAGATTATCCGTACTATGTGAGATATTTATGTAAGTTGTTCTAATTGCTTACGATAATTAAATATACAGCAATACCTCGCATAGTGCAGCTTCAATCAGTCCGGATTTTAATTAAGCAAAATTCAAACAAATTCCAGTCTCAATTTCAACGTTTTATTTCTTTTTATATTTAATTCGTCGATTAATCTATTTTCCAACAGATTATCCGTACTATGCGAGATATTTATGTAAGTTGTTCTAATTGCTTACGATAATTAAATATACAACAATACCTCGCATAGTGCGGCTTCAATCAGTCCGGATTTT